GCAACGAAGGCGTTTTCCTAAAAGTTAGCGATCACAATCTTGCTCCAGATCCTGTTCAAAGTGCTAGTAAACGAAACTAGGATTAAGGTTTCGAGTCATTTTTTTATTATAGTTTTAAGCTTTTGTCGCAATCAGATCTGGAAAAAAATGATGGTATAAATTGCAATATTGAGAGAAATTTACGTTTAGAATAACTATTCTTAAAGTTTCGAATTTTCAAAAATAACCAATTCTATATCACACATTAGAGCCGGTCAAAAATTTACACTAGGAACATAGGTTAGTTATAAAGTAAAGCGTCGATCCAGTGTGGCCCTCAAAGTTCAGAGCAAGATTATATGTAAATAAGAGTTGAGTATATTAGCTGTTTTCCGTTATATGGCTAAGTGTTTTCATAAACTATGTCTTAAAACTTTCAGGATGTCTGTTATTTGATATACAAACGGCGAGAACAGATCCAGTCTAGTTAGGTGATGCTCTGGGTAAGGCTTTGCTCATATGTACAAAATTTTAGTGCATAACCTCAAACAACTCCCGAATAATCTTTTCACTATTACAGGCTAAACCAGTCCACCCTTACATCAAAACTTCCGGATAGATTGAAAAAAACAACTCTTAAAAACATATATTCAGCCAAAAAATTTGTGGAGTAAGAAGCCATTTTGTGAACGAACATGATTTAAACTGAGCATTTGATGGGCTTTGTGGGATTAAAAATAGTTTGTATAAGCTCTGAAAAAAGAAGCAAAATAGATATAATAGTGTTACTGCGACTTAATTTTTAAAATTAACAATCCCCAATAACTTCAAACCTGACGAATCAGGCTACCTGTCCAAGGGGGTACGCTAGATGCATCCCTGACACGTTGACTCAGCCGCCATATACTGGCGTGATCATCTATTGGCTTGCTGATCTCATCATAGCAGGAATTATTAGGAACATTCAAAGGTTGCCCCTCAATTTTATCTTTAGACGCCGAGTATTCATTTATACCTTCATTCTTGTAAAAGCGAAGCCTTTGCCTATTAAACAACACTTGTGCATCTAAAGCATTTGCCCAATCTTTTTGACGTTGTCGCTTAAGAGCCACTTCATTGGCTTCCTTTACTTTTGTTTCTTCTTGATCCAATAATATTTGATAGCCATTGGTACGCCGCTCCTTCCTTTCGATTTCTCTTAGCGAAGCTATGAAATAAGAAGTTAGAAAACATCCCATGTTAGGAGAAATTCAATGCCTAATACGAAGATTTATAAGTATAAATTATTATCATACAAAATCTATCAATTGATTAACTTTTAACTTATGATAAGTTCATTTTGCAAACACAGATTAAGGTCTATAATTAGTAAGCCTAAAACTTAATGGTGAAATATTTTCACAAATGCATGATTATAGAGTTAAAAAGGGAATGGTATGAGAAATCGAATACACTTATTCACAGAGGGTAGAAAAGTTTCATAAGGTTGAAGCGTAATAATTAAGCGAATTAGAATATGATCCTAGGAAACATGTTTTACTCTTGGAAAGTCTGCACAAACTGATCTAACAATTAGTGATGTAAGATAAAAGTTCCGTGATAGCGTTTGAAACTCAATTAGTCGGGTACTTTTGAGGTTCGATATAAGAGAATTTCTCATATGAAAATGCAAAATGACAACAATAAAAGAAAAAATGAAATCGCTCAAGGACACACTCTGCATCTACAATTAATTTGTTACTTAAATGCCATATTTACAAAAAAAAACAATACTGACACTAATTTCTGGCATATAAAGCGTAAAATAGATAAGTATCCCAAACTGTATTCGACCATTGTCCAAAATGAGGCTTACTGCTTCAATAGTAACCTCTATGAAGCTACATCCCCAAAGCAATATAGCAATAGAAATAGTGAGCATAAATCGATCTATAGCGTGAATTTATAATCAAAAGTGCTGAATAC